TGTGCATATCAGTAAGAAGAAGGATTTCCAGATGAAGTCCCTGAATGCAACGACTGCAGTTTGTTTCTGTCTCTGGGGTAGTTTTGCTAGCCCTAGAGATATTATCCTACCTTCAGGAAAAGTGCGTGTGGCAGATCTGAGATTTGGATACTCATAATAAAATTCTTGCACTGCCCAAGAAGTCTACGGGCCTCAAAGAACATACACTAATAAAGTGGTTTCTGTTGTCCTTACGTTAAAATGGATAGGGATGAGCTCCCAAGAAACAAGAATGAGAGGGGAACCCGTCCCCTTTGACACTACTAACTTCTCCTTCATCATGGAAAATACTTCACTAAATCAATAACGAAATGGTCCAAGATCTACTAAGATTTCAAAGAACTTGCTAAGACTTTGTGTAAGAACACTTACATCTGGCCAGGAGGAAATCATGACATTTGGACGTAAATTGTCAGTTGTCCCATGCTTTAACCGATGACTCCTCTATAAACCAGGCAGGAATTGAGCACGAAGGCCTAGAGGTGGAAAACTCTTGGGGTTGATCTGCCATTTCAAGAGCCAGAACACAGCAAGAACATACCCCAGTTCAGACTAAGAATTTCCCCTGCCCTTTTGGCACATTTTGGATGCCCCCAAAACATGCTTTAGATGTGTTTTGAAAGCTCTCTCATGATGAACTGACTGCTTCCATTCCTGAAAGAAATACTGCTGAGCACTTTTATTGCCAATAAATCCCAATCAATTGGGATTTATTTATTTATTAAGATTCAAAGTTAGTCAAGTTTCAGTAATGTTGAATTTAGTAGCCCCATTTCAAACACTGGATATGCTGCATTGTACCTGACCGCTATGTGTGAAAGCTTTATTTTCAGCAAAAAGACAAATTCATGCCTTTTTCGGATGGCTAAAAGTTGATACAGACATAAAACAGAAGCTCTAAAGCCTAAAGACAAAAACTGGACTGACAGGGTCAGTCTTTCCCGTCTCTGAACAAATGTAAATCCTGACACATTTCTCAATGTGCTTTTCCCTTTTTACTTTAAAATGTACCCTCCAGATCAGCCTTATTCAGAAACTTTTTCTTGAAGCATTTTCCTGATAGAGGATGTCAGTGCGATGAAGCCATCGTTTTTTTTTTTTTTTGCATTTTTGCAACCTTTTTTTTTTTGCATTTATTTATCCTAACATGACATTTCATATTGTACACATCTTTTGTTACTGCCAGAACATGACATGATGGTCTATAATGTAAGATACACCAGTCAAAACAGATCATTTTGAAATGCAGTGAGGCCAGATATGACTTTGTGTAGACTGCAGCAGCCTATCTTCTTGCTCACTGGAGCAGCCTCCAATTTGAAGACCTGCTGTCCAGCCAATCCAAATTCCTTAATAAATAGGGCTGTCCCTGTCCTGCGTTCAAAAATGTGAAAAACCTCTTTACAATGTATTTTGTTTTATATTTAATACATATTTATATGCATTTATATTTTAATATATTTATTATAGTATAGTTATATTTATCATAAATATGTAATTTATATATTTAATACATATTTAATATAGACAATTTGTATTTTATATATTACTTATATGTTTATATTATTATAATGACATAATTATAGTGTTTAGCAGATTATTAAAGGCAGCCAAATGCTTGCTGCAGCCCTAATAGGTCTCCATCTCCCATCCCATGGAGCTTGGAGCTTCTGTTACACAACTGAAAAGCTCAAGCAGCTCCGCTGGCAAATGAATAAATCCATTAGTGCCCTTGATGAGGATGATATGAAGTATTGCCGGGAGTACCCAGAAGAAGATGTCTTCCAGACATGGGTTCCTATAATCTATTTTGGACAAACTAGATAAAAATCTAGACAAAACCAAGTTTCTTATAGTCAAGAACTGGCTGCCAGGCTCTTCGCAATCAATCCTGGTACTTCTGCTCTTCCTAAATTTGAATCCGGAAAACTTTCTAGGTGATTTCAGGCAAGCAACGCAGGAGGCCACAGCCTATAAATTTAGCATTTTTAGTTAGCATTTTTGCCATTCTACAGGATATAACGCTGGGACTTATGAAATTAATAACTGATAGGCCCTTAACTGATAGGCCTAATAACTGATAAGCTTCTGAAAATAATAACTAAAAACCTTCTGCTTCTTGTCTGCATGATGGGAGACTTGGTGAGCTAGTTTTTTCCACATGTACAGCATAAAAAATGCCACCCCCACATTAGCTACTCTACCAAGAAGAAGAAAGAGACGGAACCTCATGAATTACTTTACATTCACGTCTTTTCTCAGGCACAAAATGAGCTTGCTCAACGCAGCAGTCATTTATTAATTTTAAATGTCCCCATGCAAATGAGTTTCCTGGAATAAGCCAGCAGCCACTTTCCTTTTTGAAAATAATCTAGTGCTTTTTATGTTCATGATGACGGCAAGATGTCCTAATACACTTGGAGAAAAGAAAAAAAGTATCATGCTCGGTCTCTTGCAGCAGTGTAGTGTAATTATTCAGCCTGCTGCTATCATTAATAATAGAAACTAATGAATTAAGACCCTAATAATCTCCAGATGTTCAGAGAACAGAATACTTCATGCTTGTCAGCATAAATATACATATGTGGGCTATATGCTGAAGCTCTCTCTGGATTTCTGAAGTCCAAATGTACTTGTATTTGCAAGGTTTGTGACTGTGTCTTCATTATTTGAGAGGATGGTTTATTTGAGATTATGTGAGATTATTTGAGAGAGATGGAGTTTTATAAGGCTCCCATTGCAAGGGTGTTATCTCCAGACTGGGAATTATTTTTATGCTGTGATTTATTGATGCGGGGCCCTACTGTGGATTTATGCAAGCTCTGGCCAAAGGGGGCCTTACAGTTTGTGCTTGCTTATTTTATCCAGGATGGAATAGATCTCCATAGACTCCATTCCTAGAATAGATGGAATTCTTCTTTGGGCTAACGCAGCTCCCCTTTGCTTTTGGAGATGATGTTCCCTTTCACTCCGACCCCCAATGTGGAGGAATCCTAAGCCGCAGGGATATGGCAATATTAGTTAGCATAGTTAAGTGGCAGTTAAGGGAAAGAAAAATCACAAGAGTTGACCTGGTGGTATCTTGCTGCTTCTACTCCTCCAGTTTCAGAATCAAAGCTGCCCTGCCTGGGCAGAACTTGGAGAGTGGTTTATTTATATGGAGATGCTGCTATATGACATTTTGAAATGCCATACATTTGCATATGAAGGTCCCACTTTTCTCTTTCTCTTTGAGCAAACTGCTCTGACTCCAAAGCAACGTTTTAACTGGAGTAGTGCTTTCTGAGAAAGATCCTCCTTAAAATCCTTGAAAAAAGACCCTAAAATAGCTAATTATAACTTAGCAACGTAGGCTATCGATAGTGTTTGTGGGCATGTATTTTGATTTACAGCCACAGCTTTGATACCAAGCAGGACAGGGAGAGCAAAACCTCCATATGAAATGGCTAGAGACAACCTGTGATACATGTCGATATTTGCAAACAGACCTCAGAGATACAATGGTGTGCGGGCAAAATTTCAACTGAATACACTGCTTTCTAAAAGCCAGGAGTGCTAGGAAAATCTGGTGATGGAGCTGGTGATGGAGCATCCCCTCGAGGTGTCCCCACTGGGAGGAGAGGACAGCAGGTGACGTTCGAAGAGCAGCAATGGGGACGTTCCTGCTTTTAGCCCTGCTGCGATTTTGCTCCTTCTGGAGTTTCATCCATCTGCCATGCGGTTTCTGGAGGGCTTCATTTCCTCCCTCCCCCAGATGGGTAGAGAGCATCGAGCATGACAAATAGCACGAGGTGCCAGAAAACTGATAAATACCTTCAATAGGACCCTAAAAATAGTGAAGGGACATTTGTACCATTCCGACACTTTCCTAATGGTAGATGGATATGCGTGACCTCACTTTCAAGACGGGTGTCAAGAATATTGATGCATGGTGGGAATAAGATCATTGCCTGGGGGACAGCGTGCGAGATTAATGACACCTCCTGCTCTCCTCGCTCTCAGAGTAAGCGTGGTATGGGCCAGAGGGGCTTTTTCCTTCACCTCATGGGCCCACGGGATGGCAAGGAGGGTGGCTGGTTGCCCACCTTGGATA